CAAATGTTTTTATATTCTTTGTTCAACTTTGGTAATTCATAAGTATCTAAAAATCTGTCCATTTTTTCTGTGTTTTCCATTTTATTGGAGTACAGGTTCTCAAAGTAGGTATTAATGATCCTCTGGATTTTTTTGGCTCTATTGTGGCTTCGCCTTTTTCTTTCTTGATTGCATGGATCTAAGCCTTTTCTTTCCTTTTTTTGATAAAATTAGCTAAGGGATTGTCAATTTTATTTATTCTTTCAAAAAACCAACTCTTTGTTTCATTTATGTTTTGTATCATTTTCTTAGTTTCCATTGCATTGATTTCTGCTCTAATCTTTATAATTTCCTCTGTTGTTCGAGCTTTGGGTTTTTCTTGCTCTTGTTTTTCTAGGAGTCTAAGATTCATTATTAGGTTGTTTATTTGAGCCCTCTCTGTTTTCCTAGTGTGGGCATTCAGTGTTATGAATTTTCCACCTAGAACTGCTTTCATTGTGTCCCATAGATTCCTCTATGTTGCATTGGCATTTTCATATATTTATGAAAACTGTCTGATTTCTTCTTTAATTTCCTCTGCAATCCATTCATTGTTCAGGAGAGTGTTGTTCAGTTTTCATGTGTTTGTGAAGTTCCTGCAGTTTCTTGTGCTATTGATCTCCAGCTTGATTTCACTATGATCTGATAATATACAGGGGATAATTTTGATTCCTTTGCATTTATTCAGACTTGTTCTATGAACTGGTTTGTCGTCTATCTTGGAAAATGACTCATGTGCTGCTGATAAGAATGTATATTCTGATTTTGTGGGGTGGAACACTCTATAGACATCTATTAAGTCCATGTGTTCCAAAGCAGGGCTGAGTTCTAGTATTTCATTGTTGATATTCTGCCTAGATGATCTGTCTATTTGTGATAATGGGGTATTTAAATCCCCCAGTACAATTTTATTAGTTTTTATTTGCTTTTTCATGTTACTTAATATTTTTTTTATATAGTTGGGGGCTTTAATATTTGGTGCATATATGTTTATGATTGTCATCTCTTCCTGTTGAATTGTTCCTTTACAAGGATGTAGTGGCCTTCTTTGTCTCTCTTAATGAGTTTTGGTTTGAAATTTACTTTGTCTGCAAATAAGGTTGTTACCCCTGCTGTTTTTGCGCTCCTGTGGCATAGAGAATTGTTTTCCATCCTTTCACTTTCAGTCTATGGACTTCCTTTTGCACTAGGTGTGTTTCTTGTATACAACATATTGTTGGATTTTGCTTCTTAATCCATTCTGCCAGTCTATTTCTCTTGATTGGTGAATTGATTCCATTGACATTGATGGTTATAACTGATATGTTCTGACTTATTATTGTCATGGTATTGTCCTTTTGTTGACTCTTTTTACTTTTTCTCCCCTTTCCTTTTAGTTTCTTGCCTTGCCTATTTGATTTGGTCTGTTGGGCCTCATGGTGTTGTTGCCTTCCTTGTCTTTTTCTAGGCTATTGTTTAGAATTCCTTGTAGTGCTGGTTTGTTGTTCATGAAGTTTCTCAGGTGTTCTTTGTCGTTGAAGTATCTTATTTCCCCGTCTATTTTGAAAGAGAGTTTTGCAGGATACAACAGTCTAGGTTGGAGGTTGTTTTCTTTTAGGACTTGAAATACCTCACTCCAGGCCCTCCTTGACCTAAGGAGAACCTCCTTGTGTTGAAAAGTCTGCTGTGATTCTAATGGGCTCTCCTTTGCATGTGATTTGTTTCTTTTCACTTACTGCTTCTAGTATTTTGTTCTTTTTTTGAATTTCTGGGATCTTGATTATTATATGTCTAGGTGTAGATTTTTTTGATCGTGGCTAGTTGTAGTTCTATATGCCTCACTTATGTGTATGTCTAATTCTTCCCTTCTATTTGGGAAGTTTTCTGGCATTAATTCTGTGAACAGCTTTTTTAAGTCATTTTTGTTTTCTCCTGCTGTTTCATGGATTCCTATCAGTCTTATGTTATGTTTTTTGCATCATCTAGAAGTTGTTGGATCGATTTCTCATGATCCCTTACTGTTTTTTAGAGACCTTTTTTTTCATGGTCACTGACTGCTATCCTATGTTCTATATCTGAAATCCTATCTTTGCAATCTTTTATTCTGTTGCGTACACTTTCAATAGAATTTTTAGTCTCCTGGATATCTGTCTGAATCTGTTTTATGGATTCCATTTCTTTCCTCTGTTGGGCATTCGTTATTTCCATTTCTTTCTTATGCTGAGTCTTCATGGCTTCTATCATGGTCTTGAGCTCATCTATATTTTTGTCAATTTCTGTTCTAGAGTCTCGAATCATACTTCCATTTTGCTCATCATCTCTATGGTTAACTGGGAAAGTATTATTGATTTGATTTTTTCTAGAGCCTTATTGATCTGTTTTGTTACCTCCTGTGCTATGGGTCCAGAGTGTCCTGCTGGTTCACTCTCAGACTTTTCATCCTCATTTGCCCTACTGTTTGCCATTGGTGAACTGAGTTGCTTAAGTGTTTTCTCATTTTTATTTATGTTGTTGGGTTGTCCTTTGTTTAATTTCCGGGTTATTGCTGAAATCTTCCTGATATAGTTGCATTTTAGCTTTTGAGTCTCTAATGACTCAAAGACATCCTCATTTTCATAATATTGGAGAAAACAACTCATTACATCAATCACAATCCTTAATCCCAGTTGATACATTCAGCAGCCCAATAGGATCAAGCACAGCTTGCTAATGGAGCACTTGTGGTAGTCATTAATCTATCCCCTTTAAACCATGTGAATTAAATTAATATCAAGAAGCAGCCCAAAATATGTTTGCAGTGAATATGCTTTTCAATATAGCATCCATACCATTTAGGATGGTGGGGTTAGACTGAGTTAGGATGAGAGGAGTAGATAAGTGAAAGAATTGGAGAAGGTTTGAAGTGAAGCCAGAGGACGTAGAATGACCATACTATCTTTACAAAACTATTAACTTCAAAGGGGATATACAGTGTGCAGAAAGAAGGACAAGAATATATCCCCTGAACAGTAACAGGTGCCCACCTTCCCTTGAATCTATGGAGCCATGAGTGAGGTAAAATGATAGAAGAAAAGAACATAAAGAAAAAAAGAAAAAATAATAAGAACAAGTCTGAGTTACGGCAGGAGCAGAAATAAAAAGGGAGATGAGGGATAATATGGTGGAGGAAGAGACTCAGTTGGAGAGAGAGGACACAAAAAAGAAAGAAATTTTAGGGTGGAATGAGGAAAAGAAAAAAAAATGATTCGAAGGGCTTCTTTCAGACTATGTCTGTGTTGTCATATTATTCCACGTGTACAGCCATGTGCCGAACCAAATCCCCTGATCTCAGCTAGCCAATGGCAGGTCCCCATGACTCAGACTGACCTCAGGCCACAAGGCCTAAATTGAGTTTCCCAACCCACAGGGTTGAACTCCACTCAGTTCTATTACAGGTTTCCCCTGCCCTTTCTTTAAAGATGTTCAAAGTTGTGAGCTCAGCAAAATACCCTTCATGAGCACGTATGTCTCTGCAAAGTGGGTCCAAGGACTGGCCCAATCAGGAGGTTTGAGACCGGTGGGGGGAGCAGGTTGTCGGGGTTTTTCAAGGGCCCCCTCACAGCTACCTTCCTTCCTGGATCTGGTGCTGCGCATTTGGGGAGGTTGCGGACCCACTGGGTGGGCCGGAGCAGGCCACTGTAGAGACCTCCTCCAGGGTCTTTGCTTCCTTATTGAATCTGGTGTCGTGCAGTTGGGGAGGTCACAGACCCGCCCGGTGGGCCTGAGCAGGTGGGTGGAGAGACCTCCTCCAGGGGTCCTTGCTTCCTTACTGGTCACAATTTTGAATGTAATCACTTGGTTTCAAAATTAGTGTTCTTTATTACTGTGGTATGTTGTCTTTTCTTTTCTGCTTTTGCTTATTTGGAAAAACCTGGGATTAAAAATGGAATTTAGTTATATAGTATGTGGAGGTTATTTTAAAAATTTTGGGGATGCCCTTATTTCCTATAGATGCAGTAACAAATTACCATAAACTAGGTGCCCCAAAACAATAGAAATTTATTCTATGTATCTCTGATGTCTCAAAATTCTAATTCAGGGTATTAGAAAGGCAGTTTTTATTTAAAACTCTAATCCTTGCCTCTTTTGATATCACCGATTTTCTTAGTGCTTTTGATTTTCAGCTGGATTATTCCAGTCTTTATTCACATGGTGACCTCCTAGTGTGACCATGTCTCTGTGTCTTTTTTCTAAGAATATCAGTCAAGTATTGAAACACATCCTATGCTAAAATAACCACATCTTAATTTAACTAGTTACATCTTCAGTGGTGCTGTGGTGTAAGGTTAGGCTCTGAGGTTGTGGTAATAACATGAATTTTGGGAAGACATTATTCAAGCCAGTATGGATCTCATGAGTATAGACCTCATGACATTGTTTTCTGAGCATCTCTTCATTTTTAGCTCAGAAACCCTAAATGAAAAGTGGTTATTGCATACAAAGAACATTCAGGGATTTGTTTCTTTTTTGAAGGGTTCAATGCAAGGCTACATTACCTTCTGCTGGGAAGACGGACTTACCATTCTTAGTTTCTGTCTTTTTTCTACTTTCTGATAGCCTCTTCTCATGATTCATTTGAAGGTTTTTTTCAATTCTGGACATTTTTCTTCTGGAATGTTCTGTGAGTTTTAAGGAACATTTTCTCATCTGTTACTGTAACATTTGGTGGTTTTCCTTCATTTTTGTGAATTTATGAATTTGTGATAATTGATCCAGAAACCAGCTTTGTTTTACAGGTGATTGAATTCTGGTAATTTTATTGTAAAAATGTTGTTTCTATTCATACAGAATTTGCAAGTAAAGTTTAATAAATGGTAATAGTAAATTTTTATTTTCAATAATTATTACCATTGTGAAAAATTGGTGCTGCCTCAAAATCAGACCTGGAACCTTCTCTTTTCCTTTGAAATCCAAGAGTACTTGTTCCAGTCATGTCAACTTATCTTCTTTTGTTTGTTTTACAGGGTGCCCGGGAAACATTTGAGAACTACTACCGAAAACAGAGGAGAAAACAGGCCCGATTGGTGCTGCAGCCTCCGTCAAACATGGTAAGATCATGACTTTCACTATTTGCACATTTCCATTTTCTTGTCTGGTGTGTGTATGAGTGTGTGTGTGTGTGTGTGTGTGTGTGTGTGTGTGTGTGTTGGATGTGGGTGGCAGTAAGGGTAGCAAACAGCATCTATTGATTATTGTTTGTCAGCCATTCTTCTAAGCACTAGATGTGTTTCCCTCATTTCATTCTCATTGTCCTCATATAAAGTAGGCAGTATGATCATTCGTGAGCAGTTTACTCATGGGAAATAGAACTCTGTAGGGAAATACTAGGTATGCACAGGAATCTCTTGGAGGTGACAGTTTGAACTGGGCAAAGAAGCTCTGTCCTCTTGTCTTACAGCTTCTTGGCAGAGAGCAGGGCCCCTACCAGTAACCATCTTGCTGCCATCAGGAAGATGATTGGCTTTGACCTTGGAGGGCATCTCTCAGTAATCTTATGTGCATTTTCTTTGCTGGTGTAAACTTCTGAGATGTGCAATGAAAAACGTACACAAGTTCAAACCTTGTGGTCCCTGATTCCATCTTTGTTTTGCCAATAAACTGCAGTCTTTATAGTTTTTATGCACCTAAACAAAATGCTCATAAGTCTGACTTTCAGCCATAAAGTAGTATTACCACATTTACCTTTTTTTTTTTTTTTTTTTTTTTTTTGGTAACAGGGATCAATCTCGGGACCTTGCTTTTGTGAGATAGGCGGCAAATCCACTGAGCTAAACCCCTGGCCCAATCATATTTATCTGATAATCTGAGCAGTGGTGGTGAACCTATAGCATATGTACTGCAGTGGGTACCCAGAGTCAGCACACAAGCCAAGTTTCCCCAAAAGCTGAGCATAGGATAACAGTTCTTTTTTCTAACCTAAAACTCAGTATTATTCAGGTTTAATTGCAGTGATGTCAGTTTGTGATTTGGATTGTAGTTTGAGCACTTAGTCTCTAAAAAAGTTCACCGTCACTGGTCTAGGAAATTGAGCTTCAAGATTAAGTAGCTGATTTTAACTTTTTCTTAATGTAGCAAATTAGAAATAGTAACTTTTCTCCCTTTGCTTTGTTGCAGCATGAAACTTTAGATGGATACAGGAAGTATTTTAATCAAATTGTAGGGTATGTATATGTATTTTTTCAAATTTTTATATACTTTCAATATATAGACTTGTGAGACTTGGAAAAATAGATATTTTTTCTTGTTAAATTATTTTTATATTTTAAAAACATTCTTAAGGCAATTAAATTTTTTCTTATGATTTGAGAGGAACAACCTATTAATTTCAACATTATATTGTTGGAGGATATACTTGGTGGATAAAAAAATAGAATTGTAACTTTATTATATTTGATATTTTATTTCTTTGTTGTTTGTGATACAGAATGATATAATCATCAAAAGTTGACAAACCTTTTCCATAATGAGTAGATAGTATTTTAGGCTTAGCAGGCCATAGACACTCTGTCATACCTATTCAGCTATTTCATAGTTTGAAAGCAGCTATAGACAAGATGTAAATGAGTGAGCATGGCTGTGTTCCAGTTAAGCAAATCTTCATAAAAACAGGCAGTGGGCCAGGTTTATCCTGTGGGCTATAATTTTATTACCCTCACTAGAGTGTATATAGGAGTAGAGGATTATAATTCTCCAATAACCATTCTAAGTACAGACAACTTGTTGTAATTGTAAAATAATGACTGCAGTTAAAAGACAAGGACATATCCCAATGATGAATGTAACTGTACTGTATATTTAAAAAGTACTAATAAACTCAATAATGACAAAAAAAAAGAAAAAGGGACATAAGTTGCATCCTTACCTTAAGTTTCTTTCTTTTTTATTATCAGATTTAGATGGTTTCCGTGTAATTAATAATTTTGATTAAGATATAGCATATAGTTCCCTAATAAATAATTTTTTTAATTAGCAATTAACATTATGCAAGATAACTATATTTTTAAATGCATAACAAAGCCACAAAAAGAATGTTTAAAAACAAATTTCCTTTTTAAAAAAATCTTTTGTAATAGGTACCTTTTCAACACTTTTGATGAGAAAGTCTTTGATATAGTATTGATATATATGTCAATAGATATGTATACATCTCTTTTTTTGTCAACATTGACATATGAGATTTCATTATCTCTATAAAATCTATTCATATTTTCAAATATATGCATGACCTGCTTTAAAAAAATGTGCAAATAGAGCTTTGTGTGGCAGTACACGCCCATAATTCCAGCACCCTGCAAGGCTGAGGTAGGAGGATTATGGGTTCAAGCCCAGGTTGGGCAACATTGTAACTTAGGGTTACCCTGTCTCAAAAGTTTAAAAGGTTGAGTATGAAGAGTTCTGATGTCATGGGTTCAGTCTCTAGTCATGGGCATAATTCTCAGTGTAGGAAGTCACATCACTTATGGTAATAAAGAATATTATGTTTGAACTTGATATTAGTTCTTAATGTTTTTCAGATCCTAGAGATAGTAAACAAACTATAATTTCTGACAGCTGTCCTTTTCTCTTTAATCTTAGCTTTTTTGTGGTTGAAGATCACATTTTACATACAACCCAGGGCTTAGTAAATAGAGCCTACATTGATGAACTATGGGAAATGGCACTTTCAAAAACCATTGCAGCACTCCGTACCCACTCGGTATGTATGAAGTCCAAGAATTCTTAGAGCTGATGATCTGTATACCATATAATATTTCACTGCTTTAAAATCAGTATATGTATATCTTTGGAAATCACCTATTTGGAACTGTATATGTTCTTCACAAACAGGGAAGTAGGACCATAGCACCTTCTCAATGTCATGTTCTTTAGCACTGAGGTCATTTGTGTTGATGCTCTTTGCAAAAGGAAAAAAGCATTTAACATCTATTGATTGTTCTTTAAGTGTCAGAGAGTGTTCTGTGTATTTTATTTTATTTTCTCATTGAGTTTATTGGTACATTTTAGGTATACAGTACAGTTACATTTATCATTTGGATCTTATACCTTCATATGTCAGGTCTTGGTTCTCATTTTTTCCCCTCGTCCCTGCCCTCCCTTCACCCCCTCCTCCCTTCCCCATTTATTCTCATATTAGGTCTTGGTCCTCATTTTTTCCCCCCTCCCCTGCCCTCCCTTCACCCCCTCCTCCCTTCCCCATTTATAAACACTTTATTTCCATTTCTTCATTTTCTCATATTTTTTCTTTTTCCCTATTGCCTTTCCCTACCCTTCCCAGTTTCCCTACACCTTTAGTCCTTTTCTTCCTATTTCACATTGTGTTCTGTATATTGTCGACACCTTGTTTTATTTCCTTCTCACTGCACTCACATAAATGGAGCTATTATTATACTTATGTTATAGTATAGGGCACTGACCTTAGAGAGGTTAGATAACCAGTGTGATGTCACATGGTAAGAGGTAGATCTTGGATTTAAAGCCATTTGCGGCCCATATTCTTAGCTTCTACTTCATAATTACCTGCTATCCTTTAATATTACAAACACTGATTAGAAATGAACAGTTTTGCCATTGATTTTTGAAAATCAAAGCAGTTTATTATATATCAAGTTGCTTAATTATAATTTGCCATATATCTTTTGATAAATTTTAACATAATATGAATTTTGGTGATAATCTACTTTTTTTCAGGTAAAGATGCTGGTTCTTAATCATTAGTACATTTTGAACATGTGCTGTCATTGGAACTATAGATAAATAAGAGAAAATCTTTGCTCTCAGAGAGATGTATTTTAATTAGAAGAGATTCTCAAACAATCAAACATATCAGAGAGGCATAATGCAATGCTGAGAATTAAAAGAGAGTGATAGATTAGGCCAATAGGCTTGGCCTAATTGGGTTGGTTCAGTTGGTTGATAAGAACTAGCATTCTGTGATAAGATTTTTAAGGAGTCACCTGTAAAGGTCACTTTCACTTTAGGCATACTAGCAGTGGCATGAGAGCTTTTATGTAGAAAGTTTTTGAGGAATAATTGTAAGGAATCAACAAAAAGATAACTTAGCATTAACAAAAACTCATTAAATTGCTCTAATGCTCCTCTAATTGTTCCACGTAGATATTAAAGTCATCCATAATTCTTCAGTTCTTTTGTCTAATTCACCAAGTGTTCCAGAGGACATAACCACGTGCAAAATCTATATAGTGGAAGGTGGGATAGCCTTTTTAGAGAATTAAAAAAAGTGCAGCATGGATATAATACAGAAAGCTAGACAGTAAGATAAGAAGTAAGAATGGAGAAATAGGTATTATTTAAAATGTATTTCACAGTAGTCTGAATTAGAGTAGGTAGGTAAAGGAGAAGCACAGAAAAAGGAGGAGGGAGAGAAGTGTGTGTGTGTGTATGTGTGTGTGTGTGTGTGTGTGTGTGAGGTTGCAATGAGGTAACCAGATTGCATTTTGAGCAGATAATTTTTTGCTGAGTAGTGGATAAGGGTTAAGAATAGATCAGAGAAAAATTAATAAATTAGAATAATATTTCAGGCAGATCATGTTACCCTAGATCAAAAGATGATAGTAATTATGGAGATATGTTGATGAATGCAAGAAAAAATTTTAGAAGGTTAATTATACTTTCTTATAGATAAGGTATAAGAGATGACAGGAAAAAGATTTCATGATAATACCTAGGTTTATGGCTGCCTTCTTTGTTAGTGAGCATTCCCGAGTCAGTCATCTTATAAAGAGAAAAGGTTTAGCCAGGGCTTTAGCTCAGTGGTTCTACCACCTGCCTCACAAGCACAAGAACCTGAGTTTGATCTCTGGTACCTAAATAAATAAATAAATAAATAGATAAAAGGTTTAGTTTTGCTCACAGGTTTTTTTGTTTGTTTTTTTGGGGGGTACTGGGGATCAAACTCAGGGCCTTGTGTTTGCAAGGCAGGCATGGTGCCACTGAGCTAAATCTCCGGCCCATTGCTCACAGTTTTGAAGGTATCAGTCCGTAACTAATTTGCCCTAATCATGACAGCAGTGTCTAGTGGAACAGGACCATTCCTGCCATGGCCAGAAATAAGAACAGGAGGGCAAAGGGAGACAAAGAGGAAAGGAGAGGCTGTTTTAGTATAGGCACAAGCAGTACAATCTAACCTTACTTCAAGAACTGATACACAGCTTTAACACAGTTCCAATCAAAATACCCAAAGAATTCTACACAGAACTAGAGAAAATAGTCCTAAAATTCACTTGAAACCAGAAGAGACCCAGAATAGCAAAAGCATTCTGGTAACTAGAACAGAGCTGGAGGCATCATAATCCCACACTTAAGTTATACTATAAGATAGCATGTTTCTGGTATATGTGGGCCAGTGAAACAGAAGAGGGGATGTAGAAATGACCCCATTCAGTTATTTCTTCTTTGACAAAGGGGCTGAAAACATATACTAGAGGAAAGATAGCCTCTTTAATAAATGGTGCTGGGAAATTTGGCTATTCACATGCAGAAGATTGAATCTATACCCTTTTTATATCCTGAAGTAGAATAAAAACAGATCAAAGACCTAAGGTTAAAACAGAAACATTTAATCCGGTGGAAGATAGAATAGGTAAAAATCTTGAAAACACAGGTGTAGGCAAAGTCTTTTTTTCTTTTTTGGTACCGGAAATCAAACTTGGGCCCTTGGGCTTGTGAGGCAGGCGGCAGAACCACTGAGCCAAATCCTCAACCCAAGGCAAGGTCTTTATGAAAAGAACCTTAGTTGCACAGTGCCAAGAATCAACAGATGGGATCATATCAAATTAAAAAGCTTCTTCAAACCAAAATAAATAACAGCAGAGTGAAGAGACAACTATAGAATGAGAAAAAATTTTTTGCCAGCTATTCCTCAGATAGACTATTATCTAGAACATATAAATAACTTAAAAATATTAGACTCTCCAAAATAAAAGATCCAATCAGAAATGGGCACTTCATAAAAGTACAAATGACCAATAAATACATGAATAAATGCTCACTTTCACTGGCCATTAGAGAAATGTAAATTAAAACAACACTGAAATTCCATTTTAACTCAGAAAGAATGGCTATCATCAAGAAATGAAATACTGTTGGCAAGGATATAGGGAAAAAGGAACTTTTGTACATTTTTAGTGGGAATGTAACCTAGTACAACCATTATGGAAGTCAGTATAGAGATTCCTAAAAAAACTTAAACTACAAATTCCATTTGATTCAGGTAGTCCCTTTTCAGGTATCTTCCTAAATAGGTTAAAGACATCATATAGTAACGTTACATGCATGCTTATATTGATAGCAGCACAGTTCATAATAGTCAAATCTTGGAAGCAGCCTATATGTCCATCTGCAGATAAATGGATAAAGAAAATGTGGCATTTCCCAAACCTCCAACTCTTTGTTGGAGCGATCAAGAGAATGTTTACTCACTCATCTGAAACAGTACCAATCTGAGTACAAGTTAAGAATATCCTCAACCCAGGTCATTGCCCCCACAGACTTTAAATCTAGCATCTTGTGCAAAAAACTTCAGATTGGCAATATTTTCAAAGTTTCACTGCAGAAGAGCTTAATATTACTTCCTATTCAATAAAATTCTTCATTAATACTCTTGAAATAATAATCCAACACAATGAGCTGAGATTTTTCTTTTCTTAAAAGAGAAAACACCTTTTTGTTTGAAAGTAAACATTTCAAATACATAAGAATTGATGGAGCAATTGAGATTTTTGTACTTTTTAGATTATTGTTATATATATATAACAATAATCTAATAAAATCAGGTACAGCAAGCAGCTTGTTCCTTGAGAGTTAAAATTATCAATACTCCTGTAAAGAACATTTCAGTAATAGAACAAAGATTGGTTTTTGCTACCTGAAAGGTTTTCAAGTATTTATTATTGTAGGTAGTCATTGAAAAAGGTGAAATTTGTTAAAAGTTCTTTTTTGATATCCATGTCAAGAAGAAATTTGTACAGAGTGAAATGACATATTGTATTAGCAAATAATAAAAAAGAATATGGTATTTATGTACAATGGAGTACTACTCTGCCTTAATGAAGGACAAGTTTGAGTCATTTGTGGGAAAATGGATATACTTTACATTAAGTGAAATAAATCAGACATACTATACAAGCTTAAATCTCACATGGCTTCTTTTATATGAGAAAGATAAAGAGTGAAACAGGAGATAGATAGTAAGTAATAGAGGGATAGATCTTTCTCAAATGGGAAAAGGATCAAGAGATGAAGGGAGATGGAAGGAAAGGGATGAAAAAGAATTACTATGTACAAGTACTAATTTCCCACAAGAAAGGTAATTATGATGTAGTACAAAAATGTCCTTAATGAAAAGTAAAAGCTGAAAAAATTATTGTGATAATTGTAGAAATGTTAATGTAGACCTGGGATTATATAATAGATTCAAATATGTTTTCCTAATTTTGATAATTGCTCTCTAGTTACAAAAGATTGTCATAGTTCTTAGGAAATATGTATTAGAATATTTCTAACCTACTTTTAAGTGGTTCACTAAAGAATTTGTGCATGGATAATTGTTGAATTTAGAAAAATATAAATGGAAGTTTTTCATAGTTATCTTGCAACTGATGTTTAAAATTATATCAAAATAAGAAGCTTTTCTCAAACTCTTAAAGGAAAGAATCTGAGCAGTCATGGGATTGGGTTGGTTTAGTTACAGGCGATACTTGTTCCCAGAATCTTCTCTCGATGCAGCAATGCTCATCTGGCTGTGTTTTGAAAAATAATAGCTGACCTTTTGAAAATAGGAATAAACTGCCGAAGTTGTCCACCTGCAGTAGAGGGTGGTCAGTCTGTGCAAGCTCTTCCATCTGTGGCACCTCATGGCAGTTAAACGCTATTGCTTATTTCAGGGATATCTCTGCCAAGGTTGACCTGTTTTGAACTCAGTCATTTCCCAGATTTGTTAGATAGTTTGGAATAAAAATGTCAGGAGGAAACATAATGATTCTTGCTATGTGAATTTTCCAAATAAGAAATGTAACAGTATTTATGTTATGGGTTAATGAAATAATGTTAGTCACATTTCCTTTGCTTTACATGCTTATGGATAACAATTATTTCAAACTCTGCTTGTTCTAAAAGAAAATAATACAAATACAGTTGCATTAGTTCTCACAAATGAGAAAAGCACAACTCTAAAGTTATGCAATATTGTTTTCATATATGTGTTCTTAAAAAGTTATTAGTAAATTGATTTTTATATTTGAAACTATATTTTCATTGTACTATGAGAACATTAAAAAGAATAGTATTTATTGGATAACATTTTGAAATGCTAAGAAATATATATCTTTTATTGCTTTAGTCCAGATTTTCCATCTGGAAAGAAAACTGTGTTTTCCTTAAAGTGTAATATTCATGCAATATTAGATAGATTAAATAGAAGCTAGTGATAAGTCAACTAAGCTTGAGAGTGGAAATTTTGTTTAAAAATAGTGGTCAATGTGAGAAGAAATAAATGTGAGTATAGCTATTAAAATAATATATCATTAAAAATAAATAAGAGTGGCCAGGGATTTAGCTCAGTGGCACTGCTTCTGCCTCACTAGTTGAAGGTCCTGAGTTCAACGCCCGGTACTGGAAAAAAAAAAAAAATGAAGAGGAAGGTAGAGAGAGATAGCCTTTGTCTTTTACTTTAATAGTTTAAAATATTTTATTGTCTTAAAACATAGCTGTAAATCTTTAATCTGAAAGTTAACTTTTAGTCTGCTATTTTTGTAAATATTTTTTCTTAGTTTCTTGTTCTCTTTGCTTTTGTTTTTTGTAGCTTTTTGAGAGTTCTAAATTTTTAAATGTAATTTTATCTTCTGCTTTGAGATTTTATTTTCTTTTACAAAGTATATATAATTATTTGCCCATATTTAAATTTAGTAGTTCTATTCTTTTTAAACTCATAAGTTATAAACAAAAATTTTATTTTAGCATAGGATATGAGATTGGACTCTATTTGATAATGACTTCTTCCTAATAACATTTCCATTATTATTTATTGTCTTAGACAACTTTAGGTGCCATAACAAAATATCATTGACAGTATGTTGCTTAAACAGCAGAAAACTATTTTCCCCCCAGTTTTAGAGGATGGCAGTCATAATTTAGCTTGCCAAAATGATTGCTTTTCAGTGAGAGCTTTCCTCCTAGTGTACAGATGCCTGCCTTCTACCTGTATCTCAGTTGGCTTTTTCTAAGCATGTATACTCACTTGGCTTTTTTCTGGTATCACAGAAACCAAACAGAATAAAACTCAAGTTTAAGAATGGTGTGATAGTGATATGTATTCAGTAGATACTATACTTTAAATCTTGAACTTTGATCTTTTCCTCAGATAGTGTATATAATATATCTGTAATGTTGGGCAGTGACACTGAGTTACTTGTCGTTCCCAGTTAGCTGCACCATCAGGAAGGTAAAAAAACTGATACAATGTAGTATCCTGTGTTGCTAGGTGAGGATGTTCTTTAGGCATATTAGATCCCGCCCCCATACTGGAATTGAACTCTGGTCCTTGCACTTAAGAGGCACGTGGTGGAGCCACTGAGCTAAATCCCCGGCTCTTTAGATGCTTTTTTGACCTATGATATTTTCAACTTATGATGGGTCTATAACAAATAAGTATTATAAGTTGAGGAGTATCTGTATATTAAAATAATAATATAGCAGAAAAAAGGAAAATTTGTTGCAGTAATGGTTCGATAGGAAAATATCTGCTAATATGATTGTTAATAATATTACAAAATAGAATCTAGCCATTTGTGAAGAGCATTAATATATTGAGTTGGGTTCATAGGAGCAAGCTTAGTTCAGTATTTTAAAGTCTATTGTTATGACTTATATCTAGATTTCCCTCTACTGCCTTATGTGCTCATGGTGAGATCTTGGGTTTGTGATACTGAATTAGTCTACTGATTAGCATAGTTGTGGGAAGTAAAGATGGATTTACTGAAGAGGAACAATCCCCCCTGGGTGTGGGTAGTACCAATCAATAGGCTTGTAGTGTATATGTAATAAAGAGGGAAAGAATAAGCAAGGCTTGCTGCTTTCTGTCTGCCATCCCATGGACTGTTTCTCTTTTGCCATGCCCCTCAGTCATGTGGCCCACATAGCTAAATGGATGCACATTAAGGCAATTCCCTTAAGTGAAATAAATAGGACAGAGGTGTAAATACCAAGTAGCTTCTCTGGTGTGAGAAGCTGAAAGTGTAAGTAAGGATCAAAAGTTATAATAGATAACGTGAAATAGGAAAAAATGTATTTTAATGAAGATTCCAGAGTATTTTAAGTAAATAGTTGACAGAGAGTATAAAAGTTATTGATCACTGTAAGATAATTAAAAGTAGCTTATCCAATAAAAAAGGGGAAAATTTCAAAAGAATTTCAACTAGAAAACTTAAAGTTAGTTGGCTTGAATCAGGCCAAAGTTTTATAGTATAGTTTTTAGGGGGTATTAAATTATTAGTATTTAGAAATTAAAACATGAAAAGGAGAAACAAATGTCAGTATGCTGGAAGAAAATAGAATTGAAGTTGATGAGCTTCAGGTGGCAGAACAGAGATATTTTGTGTTGCAATTACTATTAGCCCACCCAGGTTACAAGAGCCCTTTTCAAGGTAAAATATGCATCAAATAATAATTGTTGGTAGCAAGAAGGGAAACTGATGAACCACATTATTTGGGAAAATTCAATATACCTCTTTCAGGAATTGAGAGATCATGTGGGGGTCAAGTAACAAGTAACAGAGACATGGGGGAGGCATGCCGTAGCAATGCTGCTTACTTTATGGCAGTCAGGAAATAGAGTCCATAGTTGGCTGGCTCCAGGGAAGTGCACCACAGCAGAAAACAACTCATGGCTTGGAACATAATGTGGGAGATAAAACCTTCCAGGCCACACCAGAAGTGACCCACCTCCTCAGATTAGGCTTCATTTCCCAACTTCACATTTTCCCCCAAACTTCGCACAATCCAGTCACCTCCCCAAAGCCCAACCTATGAAAGCATGAGGCTATGGGGAGACATCCAGATATAAAGCATAGCAGAATTTACATGTATATTTTTGAATTGCCAAATATTAAAAATGTAGATGATGGGCACTGAACTCTTTCTACTCAGCTTTTCCCTGATTGAATCTTTTGATATTTTATATCAGAAAAGGGTGCGACCCTTTCTGTGAAGCGCCTTAACCAGGCTGAGCTATAAAAATTTTAATAAATAAAAATTTAGTTGTATTTTTCTTAACTAAGATTATTTTCTTCCTTTTTTTAAATGTCCTTTAGTCTTACTGCTCTGATCCAAACCTTGTGTTAGATTTGAAGAACCTCATTGTGCTTTTTGCTGATACACTCCAGGTATGTGAATTGTCTACATATGCTCATTTAGATTAGTATTTCATCAGCTCTAAATCTTTTCTTTGTCCCCAAACAGTTGAATGAATATTTTTTAGTTTCTAAACTCCCCACCCCCCCAGTGTAGTATCTTGTTATTGCAGTATGGTATCTCCTAGCCTTTACTTTGACCCTTTACATTCTCATAATTGCTCCCTTTTTTAGTCTCATATCAAATGAAGTAATTGGACCACTTTACTACATTAGATTTAAAATATGCTCTTAATTCACACGTGGCACCTTAATGTTTTTGCTGTTTGTTTAACTACTCCTTAAATAATTATAGTTGATTTGAGCCATATACTATATCCAGTGGGGTCACTTTAGATGTGGGTGAGATTGGTAGCATCATCACTACTCTGGAAGTCATTGTAGGCAGTAAGGGTTATAGGTGAAGACGGAGAGAGAACTGAGCTGACAGTATACTGTGAATATATTGATTTTGATTTTTATCATTTCCCTTTCTCCTGACTGGCTTAATCGTTTTAACAAATATCTTTTTATTTTTGAGTAAAACACTAGATAATAGGTGAAAATGAAAGATTGTACCATCACGTTTTGTTTAAATTGTTGTCCAAAGAAAAAAATGTTTTTCGATGCCTAGTCTTTCCTACTTTGCTTTAAAAAATCACCTTAAAAAATGAATCTGTTTCCTGCTTTTGTTTCAGGTATATGGTTTTCCTGTAAATCAACTTTTTGACATGCTCTTAGAAATCAGAGACCAGTATAGTGAAACCCTGCTGAAGAAGTGGGCGGGCATTTTCAGGTGAGGAATTACAGTCATATATCTATATATGCATATATTTAGACACTTGTCTGTATGTACAGTTTTTAAAGATGTCATAAACAAGAGTATATATTTTGCATTTTTCTTGCTAGTCCAGGTTATGATTCAGAGTTCACGTGAATTGTAATCACATCTCAAATTATGTTCCCAAGATATCAATCTCAGTGTATTAGTGTCTACTGTGTAAAGATGTACCCAAGTTCTGTTTTGATATTTTTGTTTTCTTGGAAAACTAACAGATTCATTGTTTCATTTCATGTAGATTATCTATGCCTTCTTTTTCTGCTTTTTGTTTTCTGCAAGGATTCATATCATTTTTATGGCTCATTTATAAGATAGTGACCTTTGAGCCATTATGAATAATTTAGCCTTTTGGAAATCTGGGTGTGTGTGTGTGCATGTGTGTGTGTGTTTGTGTGACTACGGATTGAACTCAGGGTCTTTGCTCTGAGTTGCATTTGTAGTTCTTTTTTATGTTTTTATTTTAAAACAGGGTCTTACTAAGTCTCTTAAGTTTCCAGGCTGGGCTTAAATTTGAGATCCTCCTGCCTCAGCCTCCCAGAGTTCTGGGATTTCAAACATGTGCCACCACTATGCCTGGATGGGCTTTTTTGAGTACTGGCTCACCCCTCATCTTTTGTGTTCATACCCAAAGAACAGGTATAATTCAGTTCAATATTAGAAGCCTGTTAAGTTGTTATTGTAATGTCTGTATAATAAGAAAGTCATTCTGTTAAATCTCTCACTTACAAATGCCTCTTGGAACTTTGCTTGGCACATACCCTATGTCACTTCCTTCTTTTTAAACTTTTACTTTTTTAGGTAATAGTTGTGCCTGTTTTAAGTTTTTTCCCGTTGATTAACTTACTCTTTTTCAAATTCTTAGTGTTAAGATCTTGCATGATTCATTTAATCAGTCTTCAGTTTATTAATGTGTTCTTGATCATCTCCCAGTTCAAATCATATTAATATAAATATTTAATTTCCAAAATCCAAATTTCACTCATGGAGATAACTGTTTTTGGGGGACAGTTATCTTTGTAAGAAATTTTAAAATAAGTAACATGGTATATTACAGTTTTAGATGCTTTTAGTATGTTGCTTTCAGTGAGTTTCTATTTTGATTTTGGTAGGATTTTTTTAATTTTAGTGACCCTATAGTATATAGTTAAGGAGGGAGAACCTATAGATTCAAAAAAAAATCTAATGAATACAGAACAGAAAATAAGGTAAATGAACATAATTTTGGTTTTATTACACTTGCCAATTTCAAAAATTAGCATAGAAGAGTATCTAGCATAAGATTAAAAAATAATCAAAATCAAATATGTCTTATTAAAATAAAGAAAAACAACCTGTTTTCTTTTCTAGAGCACATATTCTTTTCATTTACTTCTTACTTACCATAACATTTTCTGTCCCATTTGTACATCTCACATACTGAGAGATTGTGTTTATATTTGTGTTTCATTTGTTTCAGGGCATTATTTTCTTTCTGGTTCTTTAAAAGATGGCCTTAACCAAAATCAAAGAGCTGTGAAGGGATATAGTATAGTAGTAAGGACTGGAGAAAGTTTATTTTAAGTTGTGATGTATATGAAACCATTATAGTTAGTTATAAAATTAGTTATGATTAACTGTCTCTCCTCCCTTCCATTATTATTTTTTAACAGAAATATACTTGATTCTGACAACTACAGTCCCATCCCAGTAACAACTGAAGATATGTATAAAAAGGTAGTAGGACAATTCCCATTCCAAGATACAGAGCTGGAAAAGGTAAGGAATACTTAAAAATAAACTTATCTGGTTGTTTTGACATCCTGAACTTTCATTAGATCAATTTCTTTGAAACTTGTAACCTTCAACTCAACAGATTAGAACTTGAAAGCATATTCAAAGGACTCTTTTGGGGGTTCTTGATATGGGAATTAGTAGATAGTTTTAGGATCCTGTAATTTCTGTAGGATTTGAGGATTGCTGGGGTGTTTCACTTTGGCTTACATTTTTAAATGTGTGCTTTTATTATACTCTTAAAATAGTATGTTCCAAAAACATACAATAAAATGTACCCTTTGAGGTATCTAATTCTGTTAAACAATGCAATGCGTCATGTTTCTCCTAGCATAATAGTAATACAGAACAGTCCATCATCTCCCCAAATTTCGTATGGTGCCCCTCATCCCAGTTCCCAGACTCTGAAAACCATCAGTCTGATCTCTATCCATTTACTTTTGCCTTCTCCAGATTACCATATAAAAGGGATCATACAGTATTGAGATTGACTTCTTTGACTAGCATAATGTTTTTGAGATTCATGAAAGTTGTTGCATATATCAACAGTTCATTCCTTTTTTTCTATTGCTGAGTATGTACCATAGTTTACCCTTGATATATTGAAGAACATTTGGATTATTGTTTTATTCAAATTTATATGTTATTCTTTTTAGTACCAAAACTAAAATTTTTTGGAGTTGTTTTCTTAAATTTGAGATTGGCAAGCAGACAGTTCATAATGTGGAAGAAAGTTGCCTTTGAATTTTAAATAATTTACAAGTAGCTTGAATGTATGTTTGTGACCTGTTTTAATTTATTCTTGCATTTACAGCAACCATTCCCAAAAAAGTTTCCTTTCTCTGAATTTGTGCCAAAAGTTTACAATCAAATTAAAGAATTTATCTACGCCTGTCTGAAGTTTTCAGAAGATCTTCATCTAAGGTATAATATGAAACAGTCAAAAACAGTGGAAATGAAGCAAATATTAATATTGTGACTCACTCTCAAAGTAAACTTTCAGAAAAACATTTGTTTTCCTTCAGCTCTAACTTGGAAAGTTTTAGTCCTTCACTGCATGACAGTGCTTTACTTTTATAGTCATAACAAATGGAAATAAAACTTTTGAATAAGTTTTAGAATTTATATTACCTGTCATTATCTCTACCTTTTTTTATAGATTTACACTTTAATAATTTCTGTTCATAAGAATTCACTGGAAAATTGTAGTATAACATACTATTTAACACTCTACCTGGTGAAATTTTAAGGCCTGGAGAATTGCAGATAAAATCCTTTGGAAATATAATTATTGGCCTGATTTGTTTATGTTTCTGTATATTCTGGACTATAGCATTCTTTCTTTGTTCATACATAGATGAGTCTATTTACTGTACACTATGGCTAACCTGTTACATGTTAGATGCTGCTTGGTAGTGAAGATTTTAAGATTCTACAGATATCTCTGCCTTCAAGAAGTATCTAACTGAACTGAGGAACTACAAAATTAATGATATGTACTAGACAAATACAGGAGCAACAGAGGATCCACCCCAAACACATTCTCATGATATTTGGGAAAGACATCTTCTATATCTAACTAAATAAGTTAGAAAACAAATGAATCCTGAATGGAAAGTGTGATATGCCAGGCTACTCCGAAGTAACAAAATTTGGAATAAGTTTGAATCATTGTTTGATAACCATTCTTAATATATGAAGTGGGGTTGTACTATTAATTTGTTTTTGTTCTGTGAAAGTGAGATTAACTTAATAAAAAAGCCCTCTTCCCCTTAAGTGTTATGCATTAAACCTTGGGCCTTGCATATGCTGGGCAAGAGCTTTACTACTGAGCCTCATTGTCAACAAAGAGTTCTATTAAAAATGATGTTATCTTTGAAAGTTGCACCCCAGAACCACCTCCAACCTATTTCCATCTACACTCGTAGTACCCACTTCCCCACACACTGACCAAGTCACCTCATATCATAGAATGGACTATAGGGTGTTATTAGGTAAGTTATGAATTCATTGCCAAGTGACTTTTTCAAATTTCTTTCTTGGAGGAAAGTTAATATAATAAAGTGATAATTTCTCTGAATTATTCAGATACCATTTTTGTTGAATGAATATTTTATTTCACTTTTGCCTGAAAACTCCCATTGACATGTTTCACATTGACAATTTAAATTAAATATTCAACTTCAGGGGATTTTATAGGTGCCTTTTTCTTTCTTACATTTATCTACTAGAGTTTATTTACCTTTTAACCTGGAATGACAAGAGATCATTTTGTCGATCATAGCTGTCTAAGGATAAATGCTGATATTATTAGCACAGGAGACAGTATATATAAAAACAAAACACAAGGCTCTCAAAACAAGTGAAATACTGTTTTGGAGTCTCATAAAGCTTTTAGGACAATTATTTGTTTAAATGAAAACTTTTTTTTTCATGTAAGAATTTTCTTTTTCATCGGACAGAAATTCCGAAAATCATTTCAAATAATGAAAAAAAAAAAAAAAACCCATGTAATTGCAGGAATTTTGAAGATAAAGAACTTTCTTTTGGAAAAAAAAAATTTTTTTCAAGCAGTATATGGCCTTCCAATGGTAACATACTGTTGTAGTATTTGAACTTTAACAAAACAGAGTATACATACATTCACATGGATATTTTTTTTTGTTATAACACTAGCTCTTTGTAAAGAATTTGAGAGGTATAGTATTCACAAAGAGAAAAAATGTGAAAGACCTCAAACTCTACCACAACAAGGTAGGTACATTGTTTATATATGGAGTTTTTCTTTTAGTTTTTCTTCCATGTGAATATATGCCCATTCACAGCATTTTTTTATTTTAAAGAAACTAATTGCAATGAGATACTTCCAGTTTTGTCTATAATATGGAAAGCTGTAAAGATTATTACTTCCTCTTCAATAATTAAAAAAAACCCAAGTAATTAAAAAATTAAAACTATTCCAGAGCTATCAGAAGGTTGAAGTGAGAGGGCAGTTAAGTACCCTGGGAAGAAAGAGGAGAAAGAAAAGAGAAAAAAAGGTGAACTGGGAGAGATCAAAGTATCCAAGATCTGTTGAGAAATTTCATGTAGTAGACCCAAGAAGACAGAGATTAGAGAAGAATAAATATCTGAAGAGATAATGGCCGAGAATATACTAAAAACAATGAAAGACAACAAACCAAGGATTTGAGAGTTTTGAGAACCTGAATCCAGATAAACAATAACAATAAGAACAAACAAGCAAAAATATGTAAAGCATCATAACAAACTGGTGAAAGGGAAAGATAAAGAGAATATTTAGAAGGCATTCAGAAAAACATTATGTGCAAGCGTTATAATGGCATTATAACAGACTTCTTGTCTGAAACTCTGTGAACAGAAATAATGGAGTGACACCTTTAAAATACTCAAAGAATACAAAAATCTAGGTAGAACTCCACAGACAGGAAAATAATTTTCAAAAATGAGGCAAAGTAAAAAAAATGTTTTTTAGCCAGAGTTGAGTTTGGTAAGAATAGAATACTTTCTGGCACATAGTAAATATTATTTGCTGATGCTACAACTACTATTTTATCATTAATGCTATATGCAGCAATGTCGTCCAGTTTGCCAAAATGATTCTACCTGGTGTAATTTACTTGATTTTTTATTTCAGCTCCACTGAAGTTGATGACATGATTCGTAAATCTACAAACCTTTTGCTTACTAGGACTCTGAGCAACTCTCTGCAGAATGTCATTAAAAGGAAGAATATTGGGCTTACTGAGGTAAGGCTGCTGTTAATTGTGGTAGTGAAGGCCATATGGGAACTGATGTCCTTACCTGTGGGTGCTGTATGTAAATTGATTATAACTTTCTTTATGGTCTATCTACATAATTCTTTCTTTCACCTGTAGGTGAAAGTGCAAAATAAAATCTATTGTTCTGTTGTCACTTTTGAGAAATCCATTTTTTTTTCTAAGAAGTTACTTTTTTCTCTTTCTTGGATTGTTTTTATAAGGTTAACTGGTTTCCTTTTTGAAACTCTTGGCATGCATTTGTTTTTTTTCATCTTACTGAAGTTTATTGGTACTTTTTCAGTATACAGTATAGTTACATTCATCATTGGGATCTTGTACCTTTACATGACAGACCTTGATTCTCATTTTTTCCCATATCCCTTTCACTCCCTCCACCTTCCCCTATTCACAAAGACTTTGTTTCCATTTTTCCTTTTCTCATATTTTTTCTTGTCCCTTATTTCCTTTCCCCTACCCTTCCCACTTCCCCTACACCTTTAGCCCTTTTCTTCCTATTTCACTTTATCAGTTATACAATCTTATTTACATTTTTAGTTTTTCACACCAGGGAAACTATTCAGTATTTTTTTTCCTTAGCTAACCTTATCAAGAAAAGGCTCATATCCATGCAATTAGGAATGAAAAAGGCGAAATCACAACAGATCCAACAGAAATCCAGAGGATAGTCAATACCTACTTTGAGAACCTGTACTCTAATAAAATGGAAAACACAGAAGAAATGGACAGATTTCTAGATACTTATGAATTGCCATTGTTGAATGAAGAAGATAAAAACATTTTAAATACCCCAATTATAATCAGTGAAATTGAAAATGTATTTAAAAGTTTACCAACAAAGAAAAGCCCAGGTCCTGATGGATTCACTGCTGAATTTTACAAGACATATAGAGAAGAACTACTGCCACTTCTCTTTAAACTTTTCAATGAAATTGAAAGGGAAGCAATACTTCCAAATTCATTCCTGGAAGCAAGTATCACTTTGATTCCCAAACCAGGCAAAGACCCAACTAAAAAAGAGAACTACAGGCCAATCTTCTTAATGAATATAGAAGCAAAAATCCTTAAGAAGATACTGGCATGCATTTGTATTGCTTGCTATTCATCATGTAAAATTTTTTTGATTGCAGAATATCTTCAACATCAAATTGATATCCAAATTAATGGTAATCCACTAATGAAATAAAACATGAACTACATTTTGCCTGCATCAATTATTGATGTCAAAGATACTAGCACTCATAATCTTTGGTTAATTTTCAATTCAGTGTTTGTTTTTGCATTATCTCATGTATACAAATGGTAAACTTCTCTATCAGTGTGTAATCTGGCAAAAAGACTGGAGTTTGGGATATGGAATCATCAGAAAAAGATAATTTATACAATCTAATAAAGGAAGATTTCAAATTGTACTTATGTTGGAAAAGCATCTTGACACACTGAAAAACTGGCCCATTGATGTATAGTCCTATAATTTATGAAGATACGATGTTTTCTTTTTTCTAGAAACCCAAGATTGCGTGGTAACCTCAACCTGTCACTCACTGAGGTTATAGAGCCAAAAGTGAGAGCTTAAAGGAAGTTTTCTTTCTACAATAAAAAGGAAAGGCTGTTGGCCATCTGTTTTTATCTGTAGGACTGATGTAGTTTTAATGTCAGTTGTTCTAGGGAAAAGTGACATTTTAAAATACATACTGTTAGGATTATGTTAAAATTCAGCAAATGGTTAATGATGCTGCCCTATAGGTAAAGACAGCTGGAAACCAGGTGAGCGTCTCCTTCTGATTTTGGAGTACCATTTTCTTTTTCTCATTAATATTAAAAAATAGTACAAGGTAGGGCATTGGCGGTGATGAAATTCTGCTTACAACAAACATTTTCTAAAAAATTCAAAGCTATCTTAGGCATATATAATTTAAGACACTATTATTTTTACAGTTTCTATCATTGCTTTTATGTATTTGAAAATGGGCCAGCTTTTGTAATTAGGAAGTCTGCAGAAAAAAAAGTAGGAGTGAAAATTAGGAAATCCTCCTGCTTTTATTAAAATGTACTGTTTTCCCTTTGTGAATCCCAACTGGTACAGAAAGTTTGCTCATCATTTGTTCATGCATCTATTCATTCATTCATTCTGGTAGGGATTGCACCACTGGGCCAGTCAAATGTGAGGCAAGGAGTCTATAATGGAACTACGTGCCCAGCCCTATCACTTTTTTTTTGGTACTAGGGACCTTGCGCTTGTGAGGCAGGCAGTGGAACTGCTGAGCTAAATCTCCGCTCATACTTATTTGTGTGTCCTCCTTCGTGTTTCTCTCTTTTCTTTTCCTTTTTGCTTTTTTCGTACTAGGGATTGAACTTGGGACATTGTGCTTGTGCGGCTGGTCCTGTCACTCTTGATATGTGTTCTTATGCTGTTCAATTTAGCAATCTCTTAGAAACCAATTTAGAACAAGAAGTCTTATAGGACTTGGTCTGATAGAAACAGCTATTACTTCAGAAGACTCGAATTTTGTTGCCATTGGTTTATTGGGACATTTTAAGAGAAAGGCCAAACTTTTGGTTGAGCTTTCTTGACCCCAGTGTCCTTTACAAGGGCACTGTACAAATCAGGAAATGATAGGAAAAATCAGAAGGAGCTTATGAGGGTACCATCGTATAATTTTGGTACTTTTCCATTGCTATTCTAAGTGATTGGGTATTTTTCGGCAAATGTACAGTCCTTATCAGTATCTTTGCTCATGAAAAAAGGGACATTAATACATATTAGGTTCTTTGGGGTATTATGATAGTGTGTACATATATAGACACATACATAAAAAAGGCTGTTTTTTCTTACCCACCAGAAAATGTTTTGAATAGCTATATTATCCACCTCTGGAAAGAAGACATTATATTCTTTATAAGTACCTAAAGTGAGTTCACATCTGGAAGCATCATCATAATCGGTAACATTTGTAGAGCAGTTTATATTCTTCAAAGCCCACTCACAAATACAGTGTCATTTAGTACAGTAACATTTGAAGCAGCTTGGCATGTGTTATTATTCCCATTTTATAGAAGGCATAATTAAAGTTCAGGGAGATTGCCCAAGGTCACACAACTAGCAAACGTAGAAGTGGGACTTAAGTCTAGGGTTCTTTTTTTTCCCCAAACCTTTTCATTCTTACTATATTGTACTGCCTTTCATATTGATTTAATTATTTCATCCTAAGCAAGATAGAGTTTTTACAGAAGGTCCATAGTAACATGGAAATTATTTTAGTTAGAAATGGATTTGTGTCAGAGAGCAGAAATCCACTCTAAAAATGGGATTATTATAAGCATACAAAACTCATAGAATCCTGCTTCAAGATGTCAGATAATTATCTTAGGACTTAACTGTTTCCATAAAGTAATCTCTGTCTCCCTGTTTTGTTTGGGGGTTACATACTGTCTTCTTTGTCTCTCTTTTTACTAATATCTGTTTCTTTCTCTGTACACTGGCTTTTTTGTTTGTTTGTTTCATGGTTTCTGTGCTTTCCCATGTTGAGCACATTCAACATCTAGAACTAGCACATACAGAACTTGTTCTCAACATTCATGTGATTATTCTAGTTCATTCAGTGGGAACAGCTGATTTTTTAGGGCTCCTTCCTTTGAGTTTACAGAAAGAGCAATTGATTACTATTTGAGACTGGTGTGTCCTAACCAAACTATCTTCTTTAGGTCTGTGGAAGGAGCAGCTGAGTTATTTTTGAGAGTATTTATTATTATGCAGACTGAGTTCTGATACTCATCCTTCTCCAAATAGCCATGTTCTTGGGCAAATTAGTTGGCTTGTTTTGTAAAATGAGGACAATAATACCATGTATTTCATAGGATTGACAATCAATATGTATTTACTATGGTTCACACAATGTTGAAACTACACAGCATACTTAGTTAACCCTCGCAACAATCCTATGAAAAGTACCTCTCAAAAATACCCTAGGAAAGCTGAGAAAATGACTAATGCTTTGCATTTATCTATATTCAATATAATTTTGTTAAATGCTATATGGCTGTATTAACAAAGACTTTGCTTCCATTTTTTCTTTTCTTATATTTTTCCTTTTCCCTTCTTTCCTTTCCCCTACCCTTCCCATTTCCCCTACTCCTTTAGCCCTTTTCTTCATATATCACATTATCAATTATACAATTTGAACCTTATTTACACTTTTGGTTATTCATACCAGAGAAACAATTAGTATTTATACATGTGTCATATTTAGTTCACTAAAGAGTATGGCCTCAATATGCATCCATTTAGCTATAAATGACTCTAGTTCCTCATTCTTTATGCTTGAGTAGTATTCCATTTTATAGAAAAACCACATCTTCTTTATCCAGTCCCCAATTGATGGGAAAATGGGCTGTTTCCAAGTTTTAGCTATTAAAAACTGTGCCACTATCAACATGGGTGTGCATATACCACTGTGATATGATTCTTTTAGTTCTTTTGGAAAGATACCCAGCAGAGGGATGGCTGGGTCAAGTGGAACCTCTAATCCTAGTTCTTTGAGGTATCTCCATATTGAGTTCCACAGTGTTTGCACCAGTCATGCGCCTTTAGTTTTGCCGAAGTTTCTGGCTGTGAGACTGGAACCTGATTTGTTCCAATTGTAACACTGCATTTGCTTCCTGCTAGTTCAAAGTCAGCTCCTTGCTGGCTTGAACTCAGCTCCTTGACCTCCTTCTGACTTGACTTGAATTTGGCTCTGCCTCACCCTGATACTGGGCACCAGTAGATGGAGCCAATCCACAGCTGCTCTGATTTATGAGCTCAGCTGGCCCCTCTCAAAAATGGTGACTGGCCAGTCACCCTCTCCTGGGAGATGTCTGAACCTGAATAACTCACCAGCCCCTGCAGCACTGTGTGTCCTTTAGTCCTCTGTGTGTTCCATTCCATTGGTGCATTTCTCCTTATACAGGCCTCTGGGGTTGTTAGTAGTCACAATGAGTCTGTAGGTTTGAGGTGTCCTTTCCATGTAGTAAGTCAGACCTCGTGGGGAACGTGCTACTTGCCACCTCCTTCTGTGTTGAGGTCCCTCTCTTCACCCTTCCAGTGGGCTTCAGTTCTTCACATCCTTGCTTGGAGATCCACTTTCCTCCTTTCTCTCTTCTTCACATTCCTGTATTCTAACATCTGGACACCAAATCTCAAGAGAAACTTTCTGTGCTGTTTACTACTCTGCTGTCTTCTTGGAAGTCTCTAGCCATTATTGGTAACAGCAGTGATATTGCTCATATTATGTTAAAACATTTTATGCTTAAGTTTTGTCAAGTAGAAATTGGGTATCAGACTTTGGAATTTAGAACCAGTATTTCCATATATCTTAGTATGTTAGTTGTTTTCATCTTGGAGATGTTATGAAACAAATAGTTAATACAGCTTTCAGTACCTTGACTAGTGTGAAAAGGAGAGAAAATGTCTTAAAGTCTTGGGCATAACTCATTTCTGTAAAAAGAACAAATACCACTATGTAGTTCTTTGCCTTGTGCCAAATCTGTTTGCAGTCATTGGTAGTGTGTGACTTAACATTTTCTTGTCACTCATGTTAGTACTCCTCAGGTTTTAGTGTACTGAATTCTCTGCATTGAAAACACATTAAAGGCATTTATAATATAGGCAGATAATATGTATTCTAGGTGTAATTTATAATTGAAATAGAAACATCTTATTGAGGTTTAGGGTTTAATTTTAAACTTCTGAAAATGATTCAGACATTTTTCCTCCTGAAATTTGTCATTCACAGCTTCATTTTCTCTGGAGTGTTTGGAGCAGGATTGATGAAGTGATCTCCGCATTGTACTCAGTGCCTTTCTCATTAGATTCTCTCTGGTATCAAGAAGGAAAGTCTGAAAAATCTTCTAATTCCTAGTGGTTTTTAACTTAAGTGACTTCAGTACTTTAGTTGTGATAGGTGATTGCCTTCTCAAATTCTCTTTCTTTTTCTGGACAGTTCTCTTGCAGTTTTAGATGAGAGATAAGTAATATTTTATCTGTTGTTAGTTCTGTGTCCTTGAAACTGTGCTAAGTACAGCCTTGAGTGGCAAGTGGGGGTTAAAATATTATTAAAGGAGTTCAAACTATGATGATGGCTGATATCTGAAATTGCTTCATTTCATCCTTTAGTTCAAAATTATCCTCAAAGCATCTGTTTTTACATTTGTAAATGCCCTTATAAGGATTTTGGTAGCTGTCATTCAGAAGTAGAGATCATTTAGAGCTTATTAACAGACAATATTCTCTCTGAAAATGACATGGTATATACTGTAATCTTATGGTGTTTTAATAGTCTATTCTATGTTCAGAAATGAAACATTTCAAAAGTGACTAACAGCCAATTGATGTAATTCATGGTGATCTTTTGTGTTGACAGATCTTTAAAAAGTCATGGGAAATTACTACTGTACCCAGTGAAGCCGCCTCCTTTTTTTCTAAGCTGCCAATATCCTAAAAAACAGAACAATTTTCTCTTTGACTGCCTCTATTTTTTATTTCACTAACATGACACGATTCCTCTTTATTAATAGAATTTCTTTTGATAGGCAGAATGTGTTCTCTGTAGGTAATGCTGATTTTAAAATAGAAATTCTCCAGTTCTGCAAATTAATTCTCTTAGTTTTCTGACTTCAACATCTGAAGACATCCTGTTGTAGCCACCTTCCTACTCAGGAATACGAGTGATTTAATTTATACAGTTTAAATATTTTAAAATGATTTTAGTTTTCTTCTGAAAGAGAAACATGATGAAAGGAAGAAGGTGATGAATTGTTTACTTTGGTGGAGCTTTTTCCCCCTACGGCATCAAAAATTAAACAACCAATGCTTTGGGTAATTTTATAGAGGACAGTAGTCTTATGTCTGAAGCCCAAAAATTTCTGGATTCATATTTGGAATGAATGGGAAGGGGTTGCTAATACATATGAACTTTTCTAATGAGATCTGGAAAACAATACAGGGATCTAGTTCCACGGTTGCCCTTTCTAAGATAATTTGCTGGAACCTCACCTCTGTGTCTTTACCCCTTGTTATTGTGTTTCAAAAGTATCTTTAAGGTCTTTATTAAGGCTGATTCTTCTTGAGTACATTTAGGTTATGGGGTTGATAGAAAATCGTTTCATTTTTATTTCTGTTATGGAAAAGTAGAAGTAATGACTATGCCCATTTTATCTTCTTCAGGTTTATGGGAAGACAGTATAATTTTGAATTTTGAATTTCTTGACAAACTTCAATCTTATATAGATCAAATAATTATTCTTATTGTCATCCCCAGTTAATGTACTTTTTGGTGTATTTGCTTAGGATTAAACATAGGCCTTGCAAATGCTAAGCACACACTCTATCATTGACCTCTACCCCATCCCCAATATTGTCTTTTTAAAGAAATCTTCTTTAAGAAAAGGGAAATAGTATGAAAAACAGAATATTTGCTTCTCACAATAATTCTGGGTTAGCAGTTATTGTTAACTTTTTATAGATAAGAAAATTGTCTTAGTTATGAAGTTATGAAGCTTTCTCAAAATCAGTAATTTGTTAACCCCTTGGTTTTTAGAACTTACATGCCCATTTTCTTTCCTCTAATATAGTTTGCTAATATTCTGTAATCTCTCCTAATGTCTCTCTCTTCATTATGCCTAATTTTTAAACTTTCTGCTGCTATATCAGTTATTCTTGTTATTTAATTCATTTATCAATTATTTATTTGCAGGCACTATGCTAGAGAGTAATAGTTTTTGTTCTTTGTGTAGTTAAAAAAACCAACAAAACATTTTAAAATAGAGTGACAAATATTGTTATATAAAAATGTTTTGGGAGGTCAGGGAAGTCGTCTTGTAGAAAGCAGTATGTAAGCCAGTGTCATCACACACTTTGTAGAATATGAAAGACTCTGCTAATATACCTTTTCTTTGTCTTGTACTAACAGATTCATACTCACTATTCATTCTGGGAAAATAGTCAAATGATTTGTACATGTGCTTATTATTTTCTAGCTTGTTCAGATTATTATCAATACAACACATTTGGAGAAATCCTGTAAATATTTGGAAGAATTCATCACCAATATCACTAATGTGCTTCCAGAAACAGTTCATACCACTAAACTGTATGGCACTACAACTTTTAAGGTAAGAGGCCCTATGGTACAGTAGAAGTACTTCTGGTGTAGTACATAGTCTGGGCAGCTACTATCATGGCTTTGTTTCCTCAGGATAATTTCTAATTCCTCTTGAGAATAATTATTTATTAAGGGTTTTGTTTTCTTAGAAAAGCAAATACCAATAGTAATTTTTGATATTTAAATTTAAAAACAAAGCTAAATATATACAATTATGTCCTCTGAACTCTTGTTTTGTTTTGTTTTTGGTTATTGAGACAAGATCTTGCTATGTAGTTCCAGCTGGTCTTGAACTCACTATGCTGGCCTGGAACTTCTGGCAATCCTCCTTCCTCAGCTGTCCAAGTGCTGGGATTACATGCATTGTGCCCCCACAGCCAGTCTAAACTCTTTCTTATATGTTGTACAAGAAAATAACGATTCTCTCAGTTGACCTCATCATAAGAGTTCTAATTGTGGTTTAAATATTCACAGTTATGACTGACATCGATATCAATTTAAATTTTCTACTCAGCTATTTCCTCTCTGTGTCTAAATTCTAATCTTCACTTTTAATGAGAAATTCCCATCCCATGCTACTGTATTTAGTAATTTGTAATTGTTGTATAAGGCCAAAGCACTAATTTTGATTTAGTATTAGATCAAATGGGAAAATGATACTCTTTTAGAACAAAACAAAGATTAATAGTAGAGTTTCTAGAGGGTAAATGTCTTAGCCTTAATAAACTCTTGTATATTGCCATGTGAGCTTTAAATTGCTGCTAACCAGAAAAAGCAACAGAGTAACATCTCAAACTTTAAAAAGTTGGTTTCTAATGTGAGAACTAACCTATGTGGTTTAAGGTTTTGTTATTGTTGTTATTTGATTGTTTTAGTTTTGAAACAATCTGTGTCATCTTTTTGAAATCCAGAAATTCTTAAATGGAGTTAAAGTTAAAATTGTGATTTATGTCCCAAATTTCTATTTTTTTTCCTCTTTTTATACTCTTTATTTATTAGTACCTTCACTTGAGGGCAGGCAGAGTATACAGATCAAATTTGCTTTATTCTGCTATTGCCTTATAAGAGAAATTAAAACTGTTGGTGAAACTTATTGTTTTTCTGGTATAAGAAAAGGTGCATTGTTGAGCCATGCAATATCCTTTGTATACCCACATGTGTAGATTAGCTATAGACCAAGTTATGTGTTCAATAGGTGACCAGGGATTGTTTTAAATTACCAATAGAATTTCTTAAAATTCATTGTACATCTTATATCCATGTTATTCGTTTTACATTTATCAATAATGTCTAATTTCAAACATTGCTTAGTATCCATGGAGGATTTGTTGTATGACCTCCTATATGTACAGAAATTTGCGTACATTCAAGTCCCTTGTATAAAATGATTTTGTTTGCATATTTTCTGCATCTTTAAATCATCTAAAGGTTACTTATAACTACCTATGCAGTGTAAATGTGATGTAAATAACTGATATACTGTATTCTTTAGGGATTAACAATAAGGAAAAAGTCTGTACACATTCAGTGCAGACACAGGTTTTTCCAAATATTTTCAATCTGTGGTTGGTTGATTTCATGGATGACCGTACTGATACAGAAAAGTACTGCCCTTCTAATGAGGAGATTGAGTACAAAATATGAGCTGCAGAATGGCTTTAGGCAGTTTATTAAGAATTATAATTACTCTTAAATACTAGCATTATTAGGGAGCATGGGTAATACTCTATCCAAAAATGTTTTTATTTACACTACTTTGAAAGGCAAAATAAATACAGATCGAAATGTAAAGTTGATATTGTATTATAGGAAGAAAAGGTCTAAAGGTGTAGGGGAAGTGGGAGGGATAGGGAAAAGGTAAGAAGGGAAAAGAAAAGATACAAGAAAAAGAAAATAATGGAAACAAAGTCTTTGTAATTAGGGAAGGGTGGAGGGGGTAAAGGAAGGGCAGGGGAATGGGGGAAAATGAAAATCAAGATATATCATGTAAAGGTATAAGATCCCAATGATGATTGTAACTGTACTGTATACCTAAAATGCACCAATAAAAAAATTCTCTAAGAGAGAAATTTCAAGAGAGTAATAGTTCAGTGTTAAGTTAGAATAGGGAGTTATGGAATTAGATGGTTAGGTGCATCCATATTGGTGTATCATCTGGGAAATATTTTGTATTTACTGATGCTGTCCCAAACTTATCTCACGTTTTTCCATTTCAGTATATTTTCCAATCATGTTTACCAATCCTCTCCATAAATGGCTTGAGTGTTTTGTTGTTGTTCCAACATTTAACATGCTAGTCAAAAATGTGAGGAAGACAGAAAGTCTTAGAGGTTGAATAGTTAGTTAAAGGCTTAGAGAAACAGAAATGCTTAGAACCCCTGAAGGTCATTTTTATAGTCCTTATTGGAAACAATAATTACTTAAAACACATTGAAAGTTTATTTTTACCATGGCTGTTTCAGTCTAGCTAATCCAGAACTCAGTATAAACATGATAATTATAACAGCTTCATGTTGTATATTTTATTAAGCTACTGTTTCCAGAAAAATTTCCCTTACAGATGGAAACCTTTATGCTGGAAGAGGATCAAGAAGAATCAGAAGTCTTCTAGTTATTTTCTTGCAGAATTCCCTCTTGCTTTTTTCCATATGTGACACAAACTGCCATTTGTAACTTATTCATAAATCTGGCCTTACTTTCTTTTTTTGGGGGGGGATACTGGGAATCTAACTCAGGTCCTTGCATGCCTTATTTTCTTACAAAAGAGAATTAAGGTATTTATTAATTTATTACCTTAGAAATATTGCTTTCATATCTATGATATGACACTGTATTCTTAAATGTTATATTCTGTGGGGAAGAAAACCAACTGTAAGTTCCTTAAAGAACTATGCAAAAAGTAGTAGAATAATGTATTAAATGCATTTACTTCCTCATCAAGTTTTTATAAAGTGTCTGCTACATACTTGGCAATGTTATAGGAATTAACAAAATAAGTGAGTCTCCTGAATTTACTGAGCTTATATTCTAATGATTTGATAGGTGATTAAAAAAAAATCTAATATAATGTCAGGTGGTTGTAATAACAAGGGAAAAACTGACCCAAATAACTTTAAAAATCCCAAGTCATTTGGATTTTCACTAGATGAGTATTCCAGCCAAATGAAATGGTGCAGTGGAAAAAATAGCAAAGCGGTTATTCCTGCAGTGATATTTCTCTGCATGGTGGTATTATACATTGAGATGGGGAATATCTATTATGCTTCAAGAGTATAGTAGATTCAGGGAATGGAGGTTTTTCATTTTTTATATATTAAGCTTGAGATATTTATTTGTCATCTGCATAGATACATTAATTAGGCAGGGCAAAATGTTAGCTGTAGAAAACATTTAGAATTAATCAGTGTAGAGATATATTCGATGCTGTGAGTTTGACTTTCTTCTGGGAATTTAGTATAAACAGAGAAAAGGACTGAGGTCTATAGGACTTTAACAACATTAGATTCAGAAGAGGGAACTACCATAATGACAGTGATAGAAAAAAGAAGTAAATAACCTACAGTTAATCATTTTTTAAAATTAAAAACCTAGGTATTAAAAACCTAGAAAACATTGTATAATTTTGTTACAGTAAATTTGAGATATATAAAAATATATGATAAAAGTGATTTTAAAAGATACAGGGAAAATCTTAATTGATTAATAACTGTAATAAACAGACATTAATGAAGACTTTAAAATTGTACAAAGTACAGATTATTTTACCAGTGAATTCATTTAGGATTTCAAGAAACACATAATTACCATTTTATATCATAGAAGAAGAAGAAAAGTACTTCAAGTTTTTCAGTAATCAGCATAAAATGATTCAAAATAAAGACAAGACAAAAAAATAATGTGAATAATTAAAGGTAAACAGTGATGTCAAAATTATAAATAGACATTAAAAAAATTTTTAAATGAGGTGTTAAAGGTAGAAATGCAAAAATGATTAATATTAAAGCTTAAAGCTGTTTAATGCTTTAAAGATAAAATGAGAAAATAAATGAAAGTTTTGAAAAGTACTAAAAGGATGCTGTATTTTTATGTCAGCATCTGTTACTATGAAGTCTTTTATTTTTAAGTGATAAATTCAGGAGGCAGAAAGTAAGGACAGAATTGAACTGAGTGGCACCATCAATGAATTAGATCTAATTTATATTCGTAGAATACTTCATCTAATAAGAGCAGGATACAAATTCTTCCTTAGCTCATACAATACATTGAGCAAGACTGACCATCCACTAGACAATAAAATACTCTTTACCAAATTATAAAGAAATAGAAATCATAACAAAACTTGCTCTCAGAACATCTGGAATTAGAAATCATTAAAAAGAAAGATAGCTAGGAAATCCTCAGATACTTGTAGATTAAACGGTACTTGTAGATCCCAAGGGGGGAAAAATGGGGTTAAGAAAATTTCACAGGAGGACATGAAAAATATTATATTCTAAGTGAAAATGAAGATAAAACTCACCAAAACTTTTGAGATTGAGTGAAAGCATTATTTAGAAGGAAATTTATAGCCTTATAGCATATATTAGAAAAGAAAAAAAGAACTAAATTCAATAACTTAAGCTTCTACCTTTAAGAATCAGGAAAAAGAAGAGCAAATTAAATCCAATAATCAAAAGGATAGAAAAAAATAAAAATAAGAGTACAAATCAATGAAAATGAAGATTAAAAACACAATATTGAAGATCAACAAAATTAAAAGCTGATTCCTAGAAAAGACAATAAAATTATTAGACTTTGAGCCTGGCTTACCAAGGTTAAAATGACCTGAGACACTAATTGCTAATACCGATATACTAATAAATGAAAAGAGACACCATCACTAATGATCCTATTCATGGTCATTAAAAGAGCAATAAAAGAATATTCTGTACAGTTCCTTACAATTTGAAAACCTGCATAAAATAGATCAATTCCATGAAAGACAGCGTGTTAATGAGTTTTTCTAAATACCTTAGATAATCAACTTAAAATGAAGAAAGGTTTATTTGGCTCACAGTTTTGAATATTTTAACTCACAACTGATTAGTTCCTTTGTTTTGGGTTTGGGGTGGTACACAAAGTACATCAAGGAGGGCATATGTGGCCAGGGAAACTGCTCACTGTATGCTGGCTGGGAAGTGAAAAAAGAGACACAGGGGCCCAGGATCCTATCATATCTTTCAAAAATACACTCTTAGTGACCTGACTTATCACCAGGTGTAAGGTCCACCACCTCCCTGGAGTTCTACAGGGTTTGGGGACCAAGCCTTTAACACATGGGCCTTTGGGTGAAGGAGGAGACATAGGATCCATACTATAGCAGATACATCATGTCAAATTTCATATAAGGAGAAATAGAAATCTGAATATCTTTTTATCTCTTAAATTGAATTGATAACCTTACAAAACTAAAAGAAACAGGACAAGATGGGCTAATTTTACCAAACATTTAAGGATGAAATTACAACAATTCTCTATAATATTTTCCAGAAAATAGTAGTAAAGAAACATATTTCTGAACTTATTTCATGAGGGCAGCATGACTCTATATCATAATCAAATGTTATAAGAACAGAAAATTATAGACCAATATTGATTATGAACATGAATTCAAAAATCTTCACAAAATAGAAAATTAAATGCAACAATGTAGTATAAGATTTATATGCTACAACCAAGTGGGATTTATTGTAGGTCTGCAAATCTGGCTCAAAAAATATTAACTTGTAATTCATCATATAAAAAAGTAAAGAAGAAATAGTTATATAATTATATAGTAGATGTAGAAAACACTCAATTATAATAAAAACATCAGCAAAGTAGGATATGGAGCTAATTTCCTTCACTTGATAGGACCATCTATCATACGTAATCGTCCGGTGTTTTATAGCTAAGACCAGGAACAAGGCAAAACTCTTCTCTTCCACCACTACTAATCACTATCCAATAAGACAAGATAGGAGAACCACGCCTGCTCCCAACCCAGCCACCATCGCTCAAGCGCCGGGAAGGTAGCTGCGCGGGCGCCCCTGAACCCCCATAATCCCCCCACCCCCCCACACTCTCAGACCTCTTGACTGTGCAAGTCTTTGGACCCACTCTGCAAAGACAAAGGTGGTCATCAAGGGTATTTTTCTGAGTTCCCAACTTTGAACATCTTTAAATAAAGGGCGTGGGAAACCTTTAATAGAACATTGGGGAGTTCAACCATTCAGAAGGATGGGGAACTCAATCTGGGCCTTGTAGCCCAAGGTCAGTCAGCGTCAAGGGGTTCAGCAATCAGCTAACTGAGATCAGAGGTCTTGCATCCTCGCTCTGTCTGAGCCATTAAATGGTAAATATACTATATTGAATATTGAAAAAGACATGTTCTGGACTGCTTCTTGATTTCAATTTAATTCAAATGATTTAAGGGTGATAGACTAGTGACTACCACAGGTGGTCAGTGTCCAAGTTGTGCTGGATCTTAATGTGTTGCTGATTGTATCAGTTGGGGTAAAGCATTGCCATTGATTTGATGAGCTGTTTTCTCTGATGTTATGAAGATGAGAATGTCTGTGGGTCGTTAGAGACACAGAAGCTCAATTAGTTAATTAGCTCAATTAGTTAATAGTTAATAGCTCCATTTAGCCTTACACAATATATACCTATTTCAAAATGTCATTTTATTAATGATAAATATATAATTTTGTCAATAATATATTTTAAACAGTATGCACCTGTTCTCACTGTATTAAAGTGTGTAAATATAAAATTACATAGATATTAAATAAGTTAAAATGTAAAGGAGGGTATAAGTTAAAGAGAAATTTATAAGGCTTAATTTATAGGCATCCTTTTCTAACTGAAGGACAGAATCGAATCCATTGTATTGCTTAGAACTACACCTGGTCTGAACAGAACAATGAATAGTGAAATGAGTCTTGACCTCTGCCTTCTGATTTCAAAGTTTCTTAGTGTCAGTGATGTTCATGAAGTCATTAGATACAGAGTTCTTGAAATAGAATGCATTTGGAGTAGATTTATATTGAACACAGAAATCATGGAAGCTATAGAAATTAAGTATGCCACCCAGAAGAAATGAGAATATTTGAGACCAGAGTAGGGGGAAAATACAGCCATGAATAAACTTTCCCATAGAAAGTCATAGGAAGACAGATGTTTTCTTTTCCTTTCTTTTTATCACCCTTACTTTACCTTACCTTACCTTCATGCTAGAGGTCAAATACTCAGCCCTATGCTTTCCTTGTAAACACTCTACCATTGAACTATACCCCTAGCTTAGGAAGACAGTTTTAACTAGAGAATGTTTAACAAAGATCAAGTAAAATCAAACTGAAAGATAAATATTGGTTGTGGCAGCAAGTAGTTCTTGGCTTCAGAAGCTGTCTCTTTTGTCAGATTTTTGGTATTATCATTCTGACTGTCCTGGTATAATATATGTATGTATGTGTGTGTGTGTGTGTGTGTGTGTGTGTGTGTGTGTGTGTGAGAGAGAGAGAGAGAGAGAGAGAGAGAGAGAGAGATGTGTGTATATATCATATATACACATCCTATAATATTAGAGCTAGTGTTCATCATGAATCTTTTATATAGGGTATCTCACACGCTGAGGTGATCCGGGAACTTTTAGCATCTTTAGCATCATTCAGGGTTAGTTTTACATATAGTTTATTTTGGGAAACATCATCATAATATGTCAATCTGAAAAAACTTGACTATAAAGAAAGCAGAGAGCTCTGACAGTTACCAGTGATTGAAACTGAAGGATACATGCAAACAATGTAAAGAAACTACTGGATAGAGAGGTTTGTCTTGTAGGAAGGAGATTTCTTGGAATTATCGAAGGCACAGGATCCTGATAATAAGTTTAGATTTGAACACAGATATGAAGCAGGATGCAGATTGCTGAGAGTACTGAAGTTAGTTTCCCTAATTTAATGAAGCAAAAGAATAGCATATGTGTGTGTGACAGGGAGGGATAGAGTAGCTGAGGGAGGGAGGGAGAGAGAGAGGAGAGAGACAGGAGGAGAGAGAAGGAAGGAAGAAGACAGATGAGAGGAGGAAGAAGGAGGAAGAAGAGACAAAGAGGAGAGATGGAAGGAGGAAGAAGAATAAGAGAGGAGAGAGAAAGACGGAGGAAGAAGGAAGACAGGAGAGGAGAGACAAGGAGGAATAAGAGAAAGGAGAAAGGAAGAAGAAGAGGAAGAAGAAACAGAAAGAGAGAGAAGGAGGGAGGGAGGGATGGAGGCAGACACCACACTGCTACATTGCTTTTGGAAAATAAAAATGGACACTGTGATAGGACTCAGTGTCCCCAGTTGTGTTACTTAATGGATATAAATGTGAATTGGCTCTAAGTCACATAAATTTCTGAATGTTTTATATTGGAAATCTGAAAATCTAAATAATTCTATCAAATTTAATATTATTTTACAGGATGCTAGGCATGCAGCTGAAGAGGAGATTTATACAAATTTAAACCAGAAGATTGATCAGTTTCTCCAGCTGGCAGACTATGACTGGATGACGGGAGATTTGGACAACAAAGCTAGTGATTACCTGATAGACCTCATTGCCTTTCTGCGTAGCACATTTGCTGTGTTCACACACCTTCCTGTAAGTGATAATTGCTCTTATTTTGCCTTTCAATACAGAAAAATGTTCTCTTAAACTTTAGTTCAGTTTAAGATGTTAGTTTCGGATTTAACTAGCCAGGAGGTTCTTTGGTATCTACAAATTCAGATATATTTATCAACTTTAATGATATTTAGAGAACTCATCTATTATTTTTTCATTGACCTTTTTCAATTTGTGTATCCTAAAAGTGGTTCCTACTATCATGTCTTCCTACTAACTTGAAGATAATTTGCACAAAGGCATAATGAAAGAAAGACATTTTGGTAAACATAAAAGAGAAACTTAAGTTTGAATTTCAGATATCTTTTAGTTTTACTACATCCTTTGTTTTTCTATAAACCAAAATTGTCTGATAAAAATCTTTTTATTTAATTTCTTTGTTTTCTTGAGAATATTAGTCACAGAGATTAAAAGTCATTGTTTATTGGTTCTTATGTCTTAATTACCTATATGTTGATTGATTTATGATGTTTTTTCTTGGTTTTCAGTCATGTGGTCTTGTGCTTTTCTATTTTCTAGTACCTTTGTGGTTCATGTTAGAAATTGTTTAAGATGGTGGTCCCTGGTGATAATATCTTCCACCAGGAAAGGTTCATTCTTTCTTTTACTGGGTAAATATAATAATGGGTAGATGAGTTTTGGTTTGAGAGTGTTCACCTTAGTTCAATCAATCATGGAGTGATGTGGGTGAAGCTATGCTTGTACTTATAATGTATCTCTGGTTTTCCCTGTTGCTCCTGTGGTTTCTTCAGGGCTTTTAATGAGAGCCAGGCACATTATCTTTTCTTCAGCACCAAAGACTGTAGAAATTTTTGTTTTTCAGAGCAACTGTATCTATTCAGCCTCTTGTTTTCTTTAGTTTTATTAATTTGGCAAGTGTCTTAAGAAAGAGTCTTAGAAATACTCAGATCAGCAGTTAATAACAGGATAAAAATGTCAGTGTCTGCTTACTCCTTCAAGAATGCTCATGGCTTCCTATAGTATCAGTATTTGTATATTCACTAAATTCATGTGTTAAATCCAAGTACCAATATGACGATAATAGGAAGTGAGTCCTTGGGAATGATAGATCATGAGGGTACACCCGCATGAGTAAAATTAATGTCCTTAAAGAAGAGGCTCCTGAGAGCAGTTTTTTTTTTTTGTTTTTTTTTTTTTTTTTTTTTTTTTTTTTTGCTTCTATCATCTGAGGATACAACAAGAAGATGCCTTTTATGAAATAGGAAGTAGACCTTCACCAGACACTGAGCCTCCTGGCATGGTGATCTTAGACTCTCTAGACTACTACTGTAAGAAATAAATTCTTGTTGTTTATTAGCTACCTAGTCCATTTTATTTTGTTGTTGCAGCCTTTATGGATTATGCTCTCCTTGAGGTTCTTATGCATTTTTCAACTAGTGGGTCATTTTCTCTGAAAACAGTGATTGTGGGAGATTCACTTTGCTTTTCAAAGGTTTTAATTTTTCAATCCTCATTTTTATCAACTGTGTAGTTTTTGAATTCAGTAAATGTCTTGAGGGAAAACCTGTCCTTCAGATCTCTGCTTTGGGTACTTTTAATCGAAGGGGGCAGAGAGAGAGGGAGGAGAGGGAGAGGGGGAAGGGGAGACGGAAGGAGTGGGAAATGGTTTCTTTCTTTTTTTTTCAGCTGTAATTGAGTTTATTGGTACATTTTAGGTATACAGTATAGTTACATTCATTGTTGGGATCTTGTACCTCTACATGACAAGTCTTGGTTCTCATTTTTTCCCCTTGTCCCTGCCCTCCCTTCACCCCCTCCTCCCCTCCCCATCTACAAACACTTTATTTCCATCTTTTCATTATCTCACATTGTTTTCTTTTCCTTTATTCCCTTCCCCTACCCATCCAACCTTCCCTACACCTTTAGCTCCTTTCTTCCCCATTTCTAAATGTCAGTATTCTTATTAGGATCTTATGTATTATTGCAGATTATTCACACCAGAGAAACTATTCAGTATTTACACATGTGTGCCTTATTTATTTCACTTAGGAGTATATCTTCATAAAGAATGAGAAAATAGATTCATTCATGGGAAATGGTTTCTTTACTTCCAGTAGCAACTCTGTCTGGATCTGATTGTTTGTTTCCCATGTGGCGCTTTAAAGCTCCCAGTGCCAGCTACAGATCCTAAGCTTACATTTGAAAGGTTCTGCCCTCTGTACTTTAATTTCCTTTAGTCCTTACTGCTTCATAACACTTCAGTGTCTTGAAGACATTTTTTGCCTTCCTTTTTAAAATTTCTTCTACTTTTTCTTAGTGAGCGAGTTCACCTGCAGAAAGCGATGCCACTTCTTGTTTCATCCTAAAAACAATACTCAACAAAAGCAGCACAAAAAACTCTTACCAATTAACTTCATAATTATGAATAAAAAGTAAATAAAATTTTAAAGTGAGTTTCAAGTGTTTTAAGAAAGTAATTTAGTATTGTCTAATAGGATTTTGAAAGACAAGGATAGTTCAAGATGTTTAAAAATCTGTTAATATGATTTTTTCACATTAGCAAGTAAAGAAGATAAAATATCTTCTCATGTTCCAAAAGGACATCATATATCATCCGGCCTAATTTCTTTTTTGGTACCGGGAATTGAAATTGGCACCTTGTCCTTGCGAGGCAGGCGGTGGAACCACTGAGCTAAATCCCCGGCCCAAGCTGAATTTCTTGATTTAAAATCAAAATTTACTAAAATATAAACTGTATAATTATCAACACCATGATAAAGTACATCTATTTGAAATTTAGCAGTTATTAGATATTTTACAGTGACATGTTTATTTACATTAACATGAGGAGTAGGGTGAAGATGTTTCCAACAAAGTTTTAGAAGTTTGATCAAATCAGGTTAAAAAAGATTAAATTATAATTATTAAAAGGGTTAAAATATTAAATTCTAATTATTACATTCAGTCATTGTATCTTAGTCTCTGTTGCCATAAAAAAATGATATCTGGGGAATTTGTAAACAATGGAAATTTCTTCATGTGTCTATTTAGCAAGTAGAAAGCGAAGAATATATCGCAAAGTAATAATGAAGAGATTTTGAATATGCAAAAATAAATACAATGGTCCAGAATAGGAAGATTTCATACTGTGGTAGATTTTTTTCAGAATTAACCAAATTATAATGAGTACCCAGTGAATTTGTCAGAGATTTACATTAGCAAAATAATTCTAAAATGGATTTGGAAGCAAAACTGACATTTCCTGAAAAATTATGGAAAAGAAAATTTGTGTTTGGTATTTTCCTGTTAGCTACAAAAATGTCATAAAGCTAAATCTTTTAATCTTTTTCAAACTGGAATAGATTGATAGATTAAGGATTTGAATTCAAACTAAAAATATTTCAAAGTGTTTGGAAGAGTTTTGTGAAAAGGTGGCACCTGATAAAGTTGCCATTATTGTCTGCCAGTTGGAATGAAAAGATCGTAAGGTACATGTTCTATATATCTAAAGGAATTCTGTTGTGAATACGTATTAACATTTTTTAAAAAGAAAATAGATGGAAACCAATAAAATCTTGTTAAGTTTTTCTGTAACCTTGAGTTTGAATTATCTAACGATCATATCAAAGATTGAAATCATTAAAAAAAGCTGATAATTTAACTCCCAATAATCAATATTACAATACATAAAAGGAGCTTATAAAGAAAATAAGATGCACACTCATCATTAAAAATAATTGCAACCACTATTTCCAAAGGTGAATATCTGTCAGAAAAATGCTCGCAGGTGGATTGAAAAATTTGAAAAATTATGTTTAGGCATTCAGAAAAGGTTGACGGCAATGTGAATGAATGAATGTGTATCTCTGCTAGTAAAGCATACTAAAGTTCTGGAATACTTTCAGGTATAAACTTGCCTAATGTAAAGTAGAAAATGTTAGAATATATTTGTCAAAAATATACCTGGAAATAGGTGTTCTGATACACTGCTTGTAAAGGTCTAAATTGTTATAGTCTTTTTGTTGGTGAGTTTTTCAGTATGGCTCAGAAATCCCTTAAAATGTACTTTTTATGATGCAGTTCCACTTTTGGAGTTCTAACTTAATGAAATAAACACGGGTATGTTATGTAATTGAAATATAAGTATGTTTCTCTATACTTTTAGCCCTTTTCTTCCTATTTTGCACTATAATTATCCTATTAGGATCTTGTGTACTATTACAGTTTTTCACAACAGAGAAACTATTCGGTATTTACACATGTGTGATTTATTTATTTCACTTAAGAGTATATCCTCAATATGTATCCATTTTCCTATGAATGACTCTCATTTCTCCTTCTTTATGGCTGAGTAGTATTCCATTTTATAGAAAAACCACATCTTCTTTATCCAGGATGTCTGGGTCAAATGGAACCTCTAGTCCCAGCTTATTGAGGTATCTCCATATTGATTTCCATAGTGCTTGCACCAGTCTGCACTCCCACCAACAATGGAGAAGGGTTCCTTTCTCCCCACAACCCCACCAACATTTGTTATTGGTTGATTTCTTGATAGCAGCCATTCTTTGTGGGGTGAGGTGGAATCTCAGTGTTGTTTTCATCTGCATCTCTTGAATGACCAGTGGTGTGGAACATTTTTTCATATATTTACTTGCTGCTTTTAATTCTTTGAGAAATGTCTATTCATTTCAGATGCCCATTTTTGAATTTGGTCTTTATATTTGGGGGGCATGATTGTTTTGAGTTCTTTATATATTTTAGATAATAGTCCTTTGTCTGAGGAGCAGCTGGTAAAAAATTATTTCCCACATTGTAGGTTGACTCTTAGTTCTGTTGATGGTTTCTTTTGCAGTGCAGAAGGATTTTAATAATATGAGATCCCAGTTGTTGATTCTTTCTGCTAGGTTCCTATGTTACTGAGGATTTGTTCATAAAATCCTTTCCTATGTCAGTGTCTTCAAGAGTTCTGCCTTACTTAATCTTCCAGCAAGTTTAGTGTTTCTGTTTTAATGTTTAGA